TCAAGGTGACTGGTGGGGAAGAGCCCAGTGTTCATCACCTATGGCATGTATGCTGGAGGGCTTGTGGCCTAATCATGCCCCCGCTTGTTAGGGAGCTTATTCCTTCACCCACTCACTTCCCTGGTCCTTCTCGCATGAACAGAGAGCAAAAATACCCGAAGTCCAAAGGTGCAAACAATTTAATGTTTATTGGGGTGAACTTCCAGCAAGCATGATTCCAGTTTCCTTCCTTAGTGTCCCCCTTCCCAGCTCTGACACCACAGAGCCTTACCTGTGTCCCTGTTCCCATTCCCCACCTTAGCAAAACATGATTCCAATTTCCCCACCCCCATTCCCTGTTCCCATTCCCCCCTTACTTCCTGATTGACTGCAAACTGTATAGTAAAACTTGAGTTCTGCTTAGCTATACCTTAACCAATCATTTTACTGAAATTTAACTAACCAATCCTAACATATTGTAACATGATTATTTAACCAATTATATCCCACCACCTTAATTGGTTTACACCCAGCAAAATTAATTATACAGCTGTCATAAATATAAAGGGAAGGGTAAACCCCTTTAAAATCCCTCCTGGCCAGAGGAAAAATCCTCTCACCTGTAAAGGGTTAAGAAGCTAAAAGTAACCTCACTGGCACCTGACCAAAATGACCAATGAGGAGACAAGATACTTTCAAAAGCTGGGAGGAGGGAAAAAAACAAAGGGTCTGTGTCTGTCTGTATGCTGCTTTTGCCGGGGACAGAACAGGAATGGAGTCTTAGAACTTTTAGTAAGTAATCTAGCTAGGTATGTGTTAGATTATGATTTCTTTAAATGGCTGAGAAAAGAACTGTGCTGAATAGAATGACTATTCCTGTCTGTGTGTCTTTTTTGTAACTTAAGGTTTTGCCTAGAGGGATTCTCTATGTTTTGAATTTAATTACCCTGTAAGGTATTTAGCATCCTGATTTTACAGAGGTGATTCCTTTACTTCCATTAAAAGTCTTCTTGTAAGAAAACTGAATGCTTTTTCATTGTCCTAAGATCCAAGGGTTTGGGTCTGTGGTCACCTATGCAAATTGGTGAGGATTTTTACCAAACCTTCCCCAGGAAGTGGGGTGCAAGGGTTGGGAGGATTTTGGGGAGGAAAGACGTGTCCAAACTATGTTTCCTAGTAGACCCAGGTAAAGTTTGGTGGTGGCAGTGGAAATCCAAGGGCAAAGGGTAAAATTAATTTGTACCTTGGAGAAGTTTTAACCTAAGCTGGTAAAAGTAAGCTTAGGAGGTTTTCATGCAGGTCCCTACATCTGTACCCTAGAGTTCAGAGTGGGGAAGGAACCTTGACAACAGCAGACAGAAACAATCACAGAACCAGACAGAGATTATTCAGACAAACAATAGCAAAGTGGGAACTATAATGACAAAACAATACAGAAGTGAGGATATCACTGCTACACCTATGAAGACATAAGGGTTTCCCAGCTATATCTATTGATAAGTGAGTTCTTACAGAACAGAAAACTATCAAACTAAACATCCTCTAGGCTCTTCCCTTTCTCTGGAGGCAATCGGCATTATCAGGACAGGATTGTATTTCTAACAGCCCAATAGCACCTTCTTTCAATGTGACTAGTTTGGAATGTGAGGATGTGACCGGTCGCTTCCCAGCTTATGGCTGCCTCTGTTGCTTAGCCAAAGGCCTTAGCCTAAGAACAGGTCCTCAGACTGTCACAGTAAGAGAAGGCCCTTACACCGGCAGACAGTGATTTTGATTCTCTCTTTTATACCTCTATAACTAGCTAAGTGATAAGAATACACCTAAATTCTTAAGAGTATGGGCCTTTACAGACAGGCCTGAATATCTATATCCTAACAAGAAAAGGAGTACTTGTGGCACCTTAGAGAGTAACCAATTTATTTGAGCATGAGCTTTCGTGAGCTACAGCTCACTTCATCGGATGTTGATCAGGTGGTTCCGCAGTTTCTTTGAGAGCGTGTGGCACAAGCTGTCAGCATAGTCTGTGTGGTATGTAGATTGTAATGGATTTTTTACCTTCAGTCCTTTTGGTACGATGTCCATCTGTTTGCATTTGGAAAGGAAGATGATGTCTGTCTGTATCTGTGCGAGTTTTTTCATGAAGTTGATTTCCACTCCATACGGCTAAATGCAGTGCCTTGCATAATGACTGCTTTCAGAGAAGCAGCCATGTTAGTCCGTATTCTCAAAATTGGTTAGTCTCTAAGGTGCCACAAGTACTCCTTTTCTTAAAAAGGAAAGGAGTACTTGTGGTGCCTTAGAGAAATAATCATGTTACAATCTACATACCACACAGACTATGCTGACAGCTTGTGCCTCACGCTCTCAAAGAAACTGCGGAACCACCTGATCAACATCTGATGAAGTGAGCTGTAGCTCACGAAAGCTCATGCTCAAATAAATTGGTTAGTCTCTAAGGTGCCACAAGTCCTCCTTTTCTTTTTGCGAATACAGACTGACACGGCTGCTACTCTGAAACCTGTCATTATATCCTAACACCGCTCTCACTGGAACTGTGGGGTGTCCGTGGGTGTTGTAGCCAAAACCAAGATCGGAGTGTGCCCTGCCCATTGCTAGGGGGGTGTGCTGGGAGAGCTGGAGAAGAGGTTCTCTGCTCCCCACCTTTGCTCAGCTACCTGTCAACTTTAAAAAACGATGAGCAGTTGTAAAGAGCACTTGACTCCAGTGGGGTCAGGTGGGGAGTAGTGTGAGTAAGGCACTCCCCAGTGTAGGTGGAGCACGTGCTTGTAAAATCCACGTTGCATCCTCTTCTAGTGTCTGGGCCGCAGAGGATAACAGCCCACTACTGCTTCTAGTTGGAGTTATCAGTTCCCTGACAGTGGTCAAGGTCTGTGTTGTGCTGCTGAAAGGCCTGGGTTCAAGCTCTGCTGGTGACCCGTGGAGGGATTGTTACATCAAAGTGGCAAAATCAAGCCCTGGGATGAACTTAATGCTTCAGATCTTGTTCTTCCTTAACCCATCCCCTCCTTCTTTGTCACCCTCACACAGCACTTCCTGTCCAATTTGCTCTATTAACTCTTTAGGAAATGCACTGTGCTTCTCTGTTTGTTTCTATAAAGCATCTAGCATGCTTCTGGCATTGTAATAATAATAATAACCAAGCTCGTTTGGCAAGTCAGAATGAATTCTCTGGTCTTCCATGTGATACCCATCAATAAATAACACATCATGTCATTCACACTTCATTTGTCAGAGCCAGTGTGAGGTCATATTTCGATTGCTGCCCACCATCCATTGGTATCTGTCTCTTTGGAAATTAGTCCTTATGAAATATAGGCTCTAGCCAGGAAGGAGTTGTTTTCCCCCATGTATATTAGCCTCTACTATGTCACCTAAATCTCCCTTGCTGCAGATTAAACCCACTACTTCCTGTCCTACTGTCAGCGGATATGGCGAACAATTGATCACTGTCCTCTTATAGCAGATCTTAACATGTTTGAAGACTGTGATCACTCTCCCCTCAGTCTTCTTTTCTCAAGCCTAAACATGCCCAGTTTTGTAAAAGTTTGTAAAAAGTTCAGGTTTTCTAAAAAGTTTACAAAAAAGTTCGTAAGGGCTTGGCTACACTTACATTTTACAGCGCTCTAACTTGCTGGCTCAGGGGTGTGAAAAATCACCCCCCTGATCGCAGCAAGTCAGAGCATTTTAAAGCGCTAGTGTAAACAGGCTCCGAGGGCAGGGAGCTAATCCCCTCGTGGAGGTGGAGTGCTGGGAGAGCTCTCTCCCAGTGCTCGCACCGACCACACTCGCACTTCAAAGCGCTGCCGTGGGAGCGCTCCCACGACAAGGCCTTGAAGTTTCCAGTGTAGCCATGCCCTAAAAAGTTTACAAAAAAAGTTTGTAAAATGTTCAAGTTTTCTAAACCTTTTATCATTTTTGATGCTCTCCTCTGGACTTTCTCTGATTTGTCCACATCGCTTGGTGCCCAGAATTGAACACAGTACAGCATCGGAGGCTTCACCAGTGCCATATACAACAGGACAGTTACCTCCTCTGTCTTATAGAGAACACTCCTGCTAATCCACCCCACAATGATATCAGCCTTTTTTGGAACTGTATCACACCCCCAGCTCCTTTTCAGAAGTGCTTCCACCTAGCCAGTTGTTCCCCATTGTGTAGCTGTGCATTTGATTTTTCCTTCCAAACTGTAGTACGTCGCACTTAACTTCCTTGAATTTCACTTTGTGGATTTCAGACCAATTCTCGAATTTGTCAAGGTCGTTTTGAATTCTAATCCTGCCCTCGAAAGTGCTTGCAACCCCTCCCAGCTTGGCGTCATCTGCAAATGTAATAAGCATCCTCAGTACTGGCCACTGCGGGACCCCACCGGATTCGCCTTCCCAGTTTGACACGGAACCATTGATAGCAGTCTTTCAATCAGTTGTGCACCTGCCTTATAGGAATTTAATTTAGAACACCTTTCTCTGCTTTGCTTATGAGAATGTCATATAGGACTGGGTCAAAATCAGGATATATCATGCCTACTGCTTCCCCCTTATTCACTCGGCTGGTAACCTTGTCAAAGAAGGAAATTAGGTGGGTTTGGCATGATTTCTTCTTGAGAAGTCCATGCTGGTTTTTCCTTATGCTCCTGTCTGTAACATTCTGGCTTTGGAAAGGAACGTGCTGAGAAAGTATTTACAAATGGGTGTCAGGGAGGGCGTTGGGGGAACTTTTCAGAGGCATAAATAGCAGTTGGGTGCCCAGCTGTCATTTCTGCCTTTGAAAATTCCGCCCCCCCCCCCCCGTGTGTGGGTCTAATCCTGAATCCGTAATCGATGCACAGGAAAAACTATCGTGGGGTTCAATGAGAGTTCGGCCTGAAATAGTGGCTGAGAACATCAGGAGATGATCTATTTTGATGCTCATTAGCAGCAGCTGACAGGGATGGGGACTGTAGACCAGGAACAAATAACATATTCCTGCACGCCTCTAACATGGGCTGTGTTTTCCTTTTGCAGCTCACTCGCTGGTGTGCTTCACCTGTAAGGAAAAGTCCTCCAACTGGGCTTGTCTGGCACCAGCTATATGTCCCAGTGATGCAAACTACTGTGTGACCACGTATCTTGGTGCAGGAATTGGTAAGCTTGGGCATGCTCTGTCTATTGTCTTTCCATAGCGTTTTCCCAGATGACGTGCTGCTCCCGTTCCAGATCAGTAGGTTTTCTTTCCTCCTTCTGCTGGAAGGATGGGACATTGCTGATGTGGAACTGGGGAATCAGTCCTTGAAACCGAATGGTAGGCGCAGCCGAGGGAGTGACTTGGAGGGCAGCGCAGGCAATGTCAGGCTTCCTGTACGCCAATGGGGGGGGCTCCATATCTACCCCTCCAGCCTTGGCTGAAGTCCTGAAATGAGGCTCTTTATAGCCCAGTCCTGCAGATGCTCCCCAGCAGTGGGTTGTGCTACTGCTGAGGTGGGCGAGGGCTGGGACTGAGTCCCCACCTGCTCCTCAGCGGCCCTGCAGGGGCTGCCATGGGTGTCAAAGGGAAGGAGGCTGCCTGCCTGAGTGGCTGCCAGCCTTGAACGGTGCGAGGGAGCAGTTAGAAAGGGCTCCGTGGATCCTCTGCTTCTCAGCAGTGGTTCTCAGGGAAGCAGCCTCTTCTGCTCTGCTGCATTCTTGTGGCATCGAGCCCACCCCCCTTTCCCTCTGGTTTGTTGGGGGGAAAAGATGGCTGCCTTTGTCCCTGGACCGCAGGGGAAAGGACGTCTCCCAGCTGTGCCCCTCCTGCGCCTGATTGCACCCAGCGGCAATTATACACAAGTGTAAATGTCGTTGCCAGCCTCTGCATTTTGAGCGGACTGTGAGTAGCCAGTTCCTGGGGAGGCTCACTGATACTACTTGCCATGTGGTTCAGTTAACAAAAGGAGTGGCAGGCTATTGAGTTGTGCAGGGAACTCGCCCAGGGGATGAGAATGTTAGGCTCTGGTAGAGGCCTCCCTACAGGATGGGGGAGCAGGCAGATACCGGACACAGTGTTGGTATATAATACTTTAAATATTTGTATTGATTACAGTATAAACCCCACTCACTCCACATTCACACTCCTTTCATACTACACCAGAATCAGAAGATCCAAAAGACATCCCATTGGCCAGTCAAAATTCAGTCCGATCACAAGGCGTGGGCAGGCCGCCATAATCCAAGACGTTCCATTTCCCCCAATTCTTGCATAACGGCAGAGCTGGTGTTATTCCCTTCCTGTTAATTCTTTCTATTCCCCACGGACATAAGTTGTTTTTGCGCAGACAATTCTTGACCGCTCATAACCATGACTCCTTGCTTCAGCTGCCAGCACTCAACTCACGCCCTCATGTCAAACACACAGCATTTATACTGGGCCCATATGGCCTATCGCGTATTACAACATATACATCACAACAAGACCAGTTGGACGGCAGGCCGCTGTAACTGCCCTGCATAACTGACATTATGGGCCTTGCTTTCCCGGTCTGGCCTGCTTTCACACCCAGGGAAGCCATGCGATGGTTTAAGCACCAAACATCTCACGTGCTGGTGCAAGGTTCCGCTATTGGCGTGTGCAAGTGAGAGAATTTGCACGCTCCAATCCCAGTGCCTGGCTGGTTGTGCATGGACAAAAGGAGGCCGGGTTGAAGCCTTTTTGGGTATATTGGTGTCTGCTGCTTAACGAGCTCTGCTGTGACCTAGCTACTGTTGTAGGAACAGCAGTGATCTGTATGCTCTGTGTTACTATGCTCTGTATAACCTCTATGCTCAAAAGGTCTGTTACACTTCCCCTCCTTCCCCCTTTTGTCTCCTCTCCCTCCTTGAATTACTGTGAAGTGGCTTTCTCCCTCCCCCTCCCTCCTGGAATGCTTGTGGGATGAATGGGCTGGTTGAACAGCTGGAAGATCAGAAGAGTTCCCAGGTAGACAAGGTGTCTGGGACTCTAATTAGGCAGCGATCACACACCCAATGCATGGACCCTGCTTGGACACTGTCTGCGGTGGAGTGTGAGCAACCAGATGCGGCCAAGTCATCTCTAGTCGCAGGCCATGAGGAGCAGGTCCTTAAAAGTGGAAGAGGCCATGTGCACAGGAGTGCACTCACCAGCCTGTACCTCCCGAGAAGGCCCTTCGCCCGGACCGCCTGGCCAGTGGTTCGCCGCATTGCATTCCATCGTGCCTCGGGAAGACTTACCTTCATACACTTACCTTGAAGAATCAAGACATCTCCACTGCTGTGCCTGTCCTGGGAGCGTGAGTATGCGAGTGTGAGTGTGACACCCCTCCCGCCCGCCCCTTTTTTTTTCAGCTTAGCTATCAATATAACAAACATGCTGCTTTCTGCCAAACTCTGGAGGGTCATTAGTCCTCCCTAAGCTGACTAGCTGGCCCAATTTCGGGTAACAACTACTACCAGCTCTTTAAAGCTTTGACACTCAAGAGCAGGAGACAGGACTCAGTCACCTCTGTGCTGCATTCCCACAGCCCCCACTGAACTCCCAAAGCCCTGTCCCAGCATGCAGTGGGCAGTGTGACAATCTGGAATGGATTCTCAGGTTTCTTTGGGTGTTCCCTCCTCCTGGCCAGGAATCTGAAGGGGATGTTCCCAGATTGTTACGTACGGGTCTGTAACTGCTAGGAAGAGACTAGTGCTGTTTTCATGGTATATAATAGCAGTAGTGACCTCTAAAGGCTGGGCATTCACTGGTAGAGATCAGGCTGTGAGGCCATTAACTGCTGAGAAATGGCCTCCTCATCTCAGGATTGATTAGCTACATCGGTACAATTATCTCCTTTGCAGAGCTAAGGAGCTCCTGTCCGAACTCTGGGAAACATTTTAATCTTGAGTCTCTTTCTCTTGTTTCTTTTTCCGGTACAGGTGGATATTCTGGTCAGAGCATCTCCAAGGGGTGTGCTTCAGTTTGCCCCAGCTGTGGGATAAACATAGGGATACTAGCCGCCTCTGTTTCCTGCTGCAGTTCATTCTTGTGCAACATCAGCGGGGCCAGCAGCGTGAAAGTCAGCTACTCGGTGCTGGCCATGGCGATCTTGGCCAGCTTCGTCTATATCAGGGCCGGACTGTGATCGGGTCAGGAAAAAGAACTTGATGCCCTGAAGAACCTGCTCCGGCTTCTCCAACAAGACACCAAACCCCTCTCTGTGCAAAGCTATACTGGGGTTACCAATGGTACCCTTTCTTCCAACTCTGTCTCAGATCCCATTAGACAATACCTGCCCTCTTGCCGTTCACAAGGAAATCCTGCTGCTGTCACTGGGTGCCCCTCTGTGCCTCTCAGCAGATCTGGATGGCTGCTCCCATGGGTTTGGGCACAGGAGGCCTGGGAAGCTCAAATGAACAGTGCTGCCCCACTGGGGAGATGTCCGCTTGCTCTCCTGCCCCATCAGGAAATGGTGGATAATGTTGGCAGGGTTTCTGCTTTTATACCTGTAGTCCCAGTTGATAGGGCTGATTAAAAAAAAAAAGGTCAGAGCTCACCAGAAAATGTTTATCCCAAACCACCTCCAAAGCGGAATACTTAAAGACCCCTGCCTCTTGCTACTGCAGAGACATTTCCCATCCACGTCACGCTAGGGTTCAGCGCCAGACTGACTGCCGGCAAGGCATGATCCAAAAACAGACCTCAGACACATTCACCCCCGGTTGGATTCTGGTTTTTTACATTGTTTTCTTTATTCTGCTCCTTGGACGACTTTTCTTATGTAAAAGGAATGCAGTGCTCGCACCGTGAGCATCACACCTGAATAAACACGTTCCCGTTCTTGCCTGAGCCCAGATGTATTGTGTGTCTGTTTGCTGGAAAAACGGGGTGTGTGAGATGCCCTTAGCCAAAAGATCCACTCATGGGTGCAGCACAACTGCTCCCTGGGACAGCGGCTCTGTGGTTCTCATCAGCGCCCTCTCTCTTGACACTTTTCATCCTAACACAGACCTTTACCTCCCATGCCTGCCCCCATACCCCCTCCAGTATGGGCCCTCATGAACGAACACTTGAGTTGATTAATTCACCTGTTCTTCCCAGCTGTGGTAGCTGTAATTTGTCCCACCGACCAGATGCTGCCTTGTATCGTTTTACTCCCTCAAAGCCCTTTCGGATTCAGTCCGTATGACTGAGGCTGGACAGGATGAAGCCTGAGTCTAGTCACCCATAGACGTATCATATGGGACTGGAGCAAACGCTATGGGAGCAAAACCGCTGCGGGGTCAGTCTGTAGATTAGATATTAGCGTCTCTCCGATTCCTGCCTTCCATCGTCAGTGAGTGGTGACGGAAAACCCTGCGGCTCTGTTTAAAAACAGCCATCAGAGCAAGCTCCTTTAACTCCTTATCGTCATTCCAGAGCGCCCCCATGCGGGCAGGTGTGGTGTTGCAGGCGAGCCCTTACTTTGTTTCCCCCTCACCCAGGGTAGTGGCAAGTCCAAACAGCCTGTTAAATGTTAAACAGCACCCCCTAGGGGAGGGTGTCATTTATTAACAGAAAAGCCCAGGCAGAACATCAACAAAACTTTCACCCCAACATCCCGGCGGGTGACTAGGTCATTTTAGTCCATGTCCCCCACCTGAGTGCCATGTTCTCCTCTGCCCAGGCTCTTCCCCCGGGGTTCCCTTGGTTCCAGTCTCTGCCCTGGGATTGTGCCTCTTGCCCCTGCTGGAGAAACGTCCTTCTCTGGAGCCAGTGCGTCTTGGAAGTCCGTCCACTGGGACCCTTCTCCAGGGAAAGCAGGTGATCCATGCGAGGCCGGGCTTCCAGCCTGTGTCTGGGCGACCACTGGCTGAGACCAGGTCCTTTTGGGTGCCTGCAGACTGCCGCTCTCTATCTAGGAGGTGCCCGTCTCCATGAGCTCCTCTGAGAGGCTCGCTGTCCTGATGGGTTCCCCAGAGAGCCCTGCTCAGCCCTCTGGCTCAAGTTTCTCCTGCGAGCTGCCCTCTGCTCCACAGGAGTCTCCCAACTCCCTTTGGGACTGCCCTCTAACTGAGCATGGGTAACCCTTATTAATCAGCCACTCGGGGCAGCTGATTATCAGGCAGTTGGGGCAGACTGGGCCCTGGTTCCCCGTAAAGAGCAACTAACCCCGTGACACCCCTTGAGGCAATTCCCCTTGCATCTTACAATATAGGGGGCCTGATCCTTCCTTGAATGAGTCAGGGTCTTCAGGATCGGGCCCTGGCTAGGAAAGGAACAAAGAAGGGATAAATGGAGGCTGGTGTCAGGCAGTTTGTGCACTGCTGTTCTTGCAGATTTTGGGGTTTCTAGAAGTTGGCCACTGAGGCACCCCCAGAATACAGAACATCCCCTTGGTTGGATGGGACTACCCCTGCTGGTGTGACCCCGTCCCTGCTGCTGTGACCTCATGTGCACAGGGCATGCAAGGTCATGCTGCATGGAGGGCGCCATTCTGCAGGACGTGCCACCCTGCCTCCATTGGCGTGACTTCGCACGCACGGTGCATCCATGGTCATGTCACGTGGAAGATGCCATTTTGCAGAGTGATAACGGTGTGACCTCGCAAATGTGGTGTCTCTGAGGTCATGCTGGTGGGGACAGAACAGCACATTCTGTGAAGAGCCTCTTCTGTGCGTCCACGATGATAGGACAAAAGCCCATTTGGGTTTATATCAGTACTCGAGAGGGACAAACCTTACAGAAACAAGACTGCCCAGCTTCAAACTGGCTGAATGGCTTGCTTAGGTTTCTCTTAAATTTAATATAAATGAATTTACGGAGATTCTAATATTTGGGGGTTTTATTATAACTGCAAAATTGTAGCAATAGTTTTTAACCCTTAAGATACTGAGATGCACTTTCAACCTTACCTCCAGCTTAATGAAGATAGTTGCCTTGAAATTCTGACTCACCCCTGGCTTTCCTGACTGCTCAGAAACAATGGTATAAGGCAGAGGGTCTTCCAGGGCAGACGCTCCGATGGGAGGAGTAAGGATAATTTTGTGGTTAAATCACTGGCATGGGACTCAGAAGATTTGGGTTCAGCTCCTGGCTCTGCCCCAGGCTCCTTGTGTGACCTTGGGCAAGTCATTTCACCTCTCTGTGCCTCAGTTTCCCCATACAGATGATGATACTGGTTGAGCAGAGGCCTGTTCTCTAAGTTGTTCAAAGTAACACAAGTCCAGCTCAACCGGTTATGTAAAATTATTTAGGAAAGACTGGTACAAATTGGATTGTTTTGAGTTATAGTTTGGGGGGCAGAGTCACTACATAAGAGGAGTGGGGTGGACTGGAAAAAGTGAACGTCACCTGCAAGGCAGCCACCCCCACCATCTCGTGGTGCTCCAGGACCCACCAAGACACCGTTGGACCTTCGTCATCCTGATCCTGAATGGCCTCCTGATCAGACTGAGCCAGAGAGCCATCACCATCTCCACCAGCTTCAGCTAATTCCCGAACAACACCAGGGACGTGAGACTCAAGCTCCTGCTGTCACCTTCCCCCTCCAGGGTTAGTTTCCTGACCTTCCTTCTCTCTTCTCTTTTTTATTCCGTGCTTTTCGCCTGCTGGCTGAGCTGGCCAAATCTACGTCACCTTTTGTAATGCCACTGCGAGCCTGTGACCATTAAGACAAGCTGAGAGCAATGCAACCCCGCCCCCCAAATCTAAATCAGACTCTGATAGCATCAGTAGCTCCAAACCATCTACACTAACCGTCACTCTTTTCCCCAGGAAGAACAGCGACCACCCCCTCTAAAAGACAGCGAAGCAGAGGCCTCTCTCTGTATAAAAGGCTCCATACAGTTCAAGGAAAAGGGAATAAGGGGCGTGGGTTGTTCCCAGTGTTGCCAACCCCAAATGCTCAAAAATCATAAGTCAGGCTCACCAAAAATCATGAGACTGGCTTTAAAATCATGACATGATGTAAACATACCAGATTTGGAGTTCTCTTTGTTTGCCTTCCACTTTTGGAGCCTTTCGGGTGCCCTGGGGTCACGTTTTGAAACTTTCTCCACAGCCACAGGGGCTAGAAACTTGCTTTTTCTTTAAGGATGTAAATCATCCCATCTCCACCTGAGTCCAGGAGCTGGGACTTTAAGGAAAACAATAATCATCATGAGACTCATGAGAGTTGGCAATGCTGAGTTTCATAGAGTCCAAGGCCGGAAAGGGACCATTGTGGTCATCTCATCTAACACAGACCAGAGAAGTTCCTTGAAAAAATTCCTAAGGATTATCCTTTAGAAAAACATCCAACCTTGATTTAAAAATGGCCAGTGATGGAGAATCCAATATGACCCTTGGTACATTGTCCCAGTGGTTAATTCTCTTCACTCTTAAATATTTACACCTTATCTCTAGTACAGTGAAAGCCTTTACAGGTAACACTTTATATCTCAAATGCTTTAACTGTTTATTCCCTGTCTTTTCTGGCTTTAATGAAAGGTTGAATAGATGTGAATGACGGTTGTTACAATCGCAGTCAGCGGTGGTCGCTTGAGGTGGACATTCCAATGGTGCCTCGTGGAAGCATCTTAAAAAACTGGCTGTAAGTAACTTGCCAAGAGTCACCCAGGAAATATCAAACGATGGTCTCCCAAGTTCCAGACCAGCTCACACCAAAGACTATATTTGCCTAGCTGAAGTATAACTTTGAAACTCCCCTTCCTGTTTTCTTGGCAAGTGCTGATTTATCATCTCACAGGTGACAATGGCTGCTCCATGGAGCAAACGATCCCCTGCCTGGAGCAATGGTGAGCTACTGGAGCTGATCAGTGTTTGGGGAGAGGGGGCTGTGCAGGGACCCCCTTCCCACAAGACCAATTGTCAAACTGGAGAGAGCTGCACCCTGGGATAGCTGCCCAAGAGCGCTGCTCTCATTGGTGAAGGAAGTGCTGCAAATGTAAACACTCTCGGATAACTGAGAAATGAAGTGAGTACCCAAACCAGCGTTTTACTTTCACTGGTTCCCTATCACCGATTAAACTGACAGGGCAAATACTGTGCAAGTGTAGACATACCCGCCCTGAGAGAGGCCAGACAGAGCCAGAAGAGTTCCCAGACGTCACCTACTCCAGGACAGACCCAACAAAGAAACTAACAGAACGCCACTAGCCGTCACCTTCAGCCCCCAACTAAAACCTCTCCAGCGCATCATCAAGGATCTACAACTTATCCTGAAGGACGACCCATCACTCTCACAGATCTTGGGAGACAGGCCAGTCCTTGCTTACAGACAGCCCCCCAACCTGAAACAAATACTCACCAGCAACCACATACCACACAACAGAACCACTAACCTAGGAACCTATCCTTGCAACAAAGCCCGTTGCCAACTGTGTCCACATATCTATTCAGGAGACACCATCATAGGGCCTAATCACATCAGCCACACTATCAGAGGCTCGTTCACCTGCACATCCACCAATGTGATATATGCCATCATGTGCCAGCAATGCCCCTCTGCCTTGTACATTGGCCAAACCGGACAGTCTCTACGTAAAAGAATAAATGGACACAAATCAGATGTCAAGAATTATAACATTCAAAAACCAGTCGGAGAACACTTCAATCTCTTTGGTCACTCGATTACAGACCTAAAAGTGGCAATTCTTCAGCAAAATAACTTCAGAAACAGACTCCACCGAGACACTGCTGAATTGGAATTAATTTGCAAAAACTGGATACAATTAACCTAATTGAATTAAGCCTAATTGAATAGAGACTGGGAGTGGATGTGTCATTACACAAAGTAAAACTATTTCCCCATGTTTATTCCCCCCCCCCCCCACTGTTCCTCACACCTTCTTGTCAACTGCTGGAAA